TATCATCTTAACTTCTTTTTACAACGTTTTTTAAATTTTTTGCAACAAGTATTTGCTTTTTACTTATAGGTAAAGATAACATTTTAATATGTAATATAATTTTTTAATTTTTTTGTTTATTATTTTTGATCAAGAGGAAAATTATTTATAAAATGTCTCCAAAAATTTATCTCCGACAAAAATTTTAAAAGAAATATTAGACAATTAAACTTTCAATCCCTTAATAGTTTACAAAAAGGAACTATTAGGCCAAATGCTCGTTCACTGGTGCAAAAAATTTACATATTTGCCTTTTTTTTTTTCTTGCAACGTTTAATGAACGTTGTTAAAACCTCATCATACTGCAACGTTTCTTGCATGTTGTTGAAACTATTAAAATAACTTGTTGCTGTTGCAAAAAAATTTTCCATCCTAGTGTTCGTTGCATGTTGTAAAATCTCGTAATCAAATTTTTATTTCACAACTCATCTACTAGATTCGACCCGACCCGACCCAATTAATAAAAAAGGAAGCCTCTCAATTGGGGCAAGAAATGGAGTTAATTGTTTCAACAGTCATCGAACTTTACAAAATGTCACGTTTCACTAAATCCAATTAAAATTGAAAATATAGCCGTTATTGGGTCCCATTCGTATAATAAAAGTCAACAATAACGACTAATTTTTCAATTTTAATCCGATTTTAATCTCTACCGAACACGCTCATAGTCTCAAAAAAAAAAGAAGAGAGAAACAAGGCACTAAAATATTTTTGGTGGAAAATTTATGGCGGCAAAATTTTATTTCTTGCAACAAAGTATTTTGATGCAACAGGGTCTACTTTTTGCGTCGTGGAATATTTGTTGCTAAAACTCTCTAGATTGTGGAAAAAATAGCTAATGTTTCACATAGTAGGAGGCAAAATGCCTTAAATGCACGTTATTGTTAAGTTTTTGCGATGTATTTCATCTGTTGGTTTTATTATATTTTGAAACACTTTTTGTTTATCATCTTAACTTCTTTTTACAACGTTTTTTAAATTTTTTGCAACAAGTATTTGCTTTTTACTTATAGCTAAAGATAACATTTTAATATGTAATATAATTTTTTAATTTTTTTGTTTATTATTTTTGATCAAGAGGAAAATTATTTATAAAATGTCTCCAAAAATTTATCTCCGACAAAAATTTTTAAAAAAATATTAGACAATTAAACTTTCAATCCCTTAATAGTTTACAAAAAGGAACTATTAGGCCAAATGCTCGTTCACTGGTGCAAAAAATTTACATATTTGCCTTTTTTTTTTTCTTGCAACGTTTAATGAACGTTGTTAAAACCTCATCATACTGCAACGTTTCTTGCATGTTGTTGAAACTATTAAAATAACTTGTTGCTGTTGCAAAAAATTTTTCCATCCTAGTGTTCGTTGCATGTTGTAAAATCTCGTAATCAAATTTTTATTTCACAACTCATCTACTAGATTCGACCCGACCCGANCAAAATTAGTTGCCTACGTGGATGACGGTTTGCACACGTGGCCGTTAAATTAATCCAGCTAGTCGAGTTAATTGTTTCAACGGTCACTGAACTTTACAAAAAGTCACGTTTCACTAACTGAACTTTAAGTTGCACCCTATCACTAATTGAACTTATATAAATTGTACTACATCACTAACCATCTTAATTCTGTCTATACCGTTTGCCTACGTGGAGGACAGTTTTCAAACTTGCCGTTAAACCCCTTCTACATTGCTGCCATGTCATTAATCCTACTACACATCTTTTATAATGAGAGAAAGCGTGAGATGATGCAGAATATGAACAAACCCTATCCCCAAATCTCTCCTCGAATAAACTCCCAAATTGTATGAACCATAGCTCAAAAACAAAATTGAATCGAAATTTGAAGGCCAGTAAGGGTGATTCTTGAAACCGTTGAAATGGAGAGAACAAATGTAGGTAATTTCAGAAATTTTCCCATCTCTGTGAAACATTAATTTCATCTTCCTTTGTTGGACTTGTTGTTTGAATAACAATGACATGTTCAAGACTATTGACAACCCAAGTATGTAATTTTTTGTGCTGCTATATTAAAATGACATAAATGGTAAGATTACACTAATAGGCAACTTCTACCTCTATTTAAAAAGTTCATGCTACAGGAAGAAAGAACAGCAGAAAATATTATTGAGTTAATCTACATTTCAGAAAATAAACATATCTTCAGATTCTCAAGGATGAATTTGACCAATTTATATTTATTTGTTCAGATTGTCTCTTTCCTAGTTTCTTTTTATTTGTTATGACCAGGAAGCATTTGAAGAGCATTTGCCACAGTTTTTTTTTGCTTCTGACCAATCTTTTTTCTGTATTAGGAAAGAATAAGGGCATTTGCTACAGTTACAAACAATCAGGGCATCAATTGTGGACATGCCCAACAAAGCAAAGATGTCTAGATTGTGCTGATGGTTTTATGTAATGGATGGAAGTAGAAAAGACCGCAAATATTGGTCGATTATTCTTTTGTTGCACTATAAATTGCGGATTTTTCAAGTGGAGTAACATTGCACCCAACAAACGTGTACCATTACAAGATGAGGGTCAGTCCAGTGGTGTAAAAAATGTACAGGAATCAAGGTGTGATTGTTCAGCCATTCATAACCCTGAGCGTTAAACTGAAGATCTATTGGGTTTGTTCAAAACTTGTACTCGAATTACTGAACAATCGGACGTCGAGATATCCATCAACATTACGTTCTGCAAGGGAAAAGGAAATGTGAATGCAAATGAGAAACAAAAGGGAAGTGATTAGTGAAGACAATCCAACTATGTAGTTGATGAGAAGATGGTTTCGAAAATTAATGTTATCCTATGTAGATTATTTAAGTTAGCCAAATTAGTAAGGAATGTACTGGATGAATTATTGATATGTAGTGATGTACTATAATCTTGGTGATTATCAATACGTTAGTAATGAAATTTGGAAAATTTCCTATACGCTTGGTTGCTTTTCCTGGTTGTTATGATGATTCATATTCCTCCATTTTGTTATCATGGTGTGTTTTCTCCATTTTCTTCTTTGTTTTTATGCGGTTTTTATGTCAATATCAGTGATGAAATTTCGTGAAGTTCAATTTTTTAAAATAGACGCTGACTCTCTGAAGTTTTTGTTGATTTCTTACTCTTGACTTGATTTTTTCCAAGCACTTCTCTCTCTGATAATTTCTTTCTCCTAATATTTCTAACTGTACACATAAACAAAGAAAAAAAAAAATCAAAACCCAATTCTAATTTCTCTTTGATCACAACAAGACAATATTCGATCGCAATGATTTGAGCAAACCAGCATTACATGAAAACCAGCCAACATTGGCACATTACAATTTGTGCATTAAACCAGCCAACATTTGCACAAAACTAGCCCACATTGGCACAAAACTAGCATTTAACCAGCAAACATTGGCACAAAACCAACCAACACCATCAAAAAAATCCCAAAAAACTAGATTCCTATGTACAGGTATTTGAATCCATCAAAAGTATCGGCTACAAATAGGCATGACAGATATTTGAATCCATCAAAAATATGGTGTCCCCCGCATGACCACTACCATCTGTTTCTTGAAGTTCTACTTGCTCTATCAAGGATGTTCCACCATCAGGGACAGAAGGAGTTGGCCCATCCTTGAGAACGACAGGTCGCTGCATATCCGTTTCAGCCATGAACTCTGTGAAGCGATACCCAACCTCATCGTCAGATGACATGTCGACAACAATTCTTCGGATGATGGACACTCGAAATCGTCAGAGTTGTCATTTTCGTCTTCAACCACTACAAGCTCTCCTTCTTGTTCAATTGCCCCTCCCTCACAACCTACCTCAATTCCATCCGTCACATTACTGTCTAATAGTCTATCATCTTCACCAGTCGAGAAGTCATTATTTGAATCCCCAAAGTCAGTGTAATCCTCTGCATCTATCATAGAAACAATAAATTGAAATGAGATCAAACAAAACAAACAAGCCGTGGAAGAAAGATTTTTTATTTATTTGAAGCAGAATTTAATTAAATATGTCATTTTTCTAATGTTTGTTTGACCTTCTGTAGAGTTTTTTTAATTAATTTGCACAAAAATCAATTAATTTGCATTGTGATAGAATAAATAAAAACTCTTTCACACTGATTCCAATGGCTTGAGAGTATGCAATGCAATTAATCTTAAGATAGCATGTCTGTCAGATTCTTTTGAAAATTAATGCTAATCATAATCAATTATTTACTAATTAAAATTCTTTGATATACCAATCCTGACTTATTGTCTCATCAAATTGGTAAGGCAGGAATGTCAATACGTATGAATTATTGAAAACAAATGGGGCCAATACTATCAATCCGCAATGTGAAGGACCAAGAACGTGTAAAGACCTATAGAAAATGAATCTAATTGGAGAAGAAACTTTTTTTTGATTGGGCGTACGGAGGAAACAAACAAAAATATTGAATGAGATTTACCTTCTTGTGGACCCTCCATGTCTGAGTGTTGAAAACACCAATATTCGTGGTCGAGGTGGGGCCTTCGACGATGATGGAGGGTTAGCTTTGAGTCCGGGTTCACGCTCTACTGAAATCTACCGTCCAAGCTTCAAACTTTTCTTAGCCTAGGGTTCCACACGCGATTCAAGTGCACACCAAGGGGAGTTAATTATGTTTGGCCGTTTGGGATTAATGACATGGCAATTGCCTGCAATGTAGATGAGATTTAACGGCAATTGTGAAAACCGTCCTCCACGTAGGCAAATAGTATAGAAGGAATCAATATGATGAGTGATGGAGTGAATTTATATAAGTTCAGTTAGTGATGATGTGTAACTTAAAGCTCAGTTAGTGTAACTTAAAGCTCAGTTAGTTGAACGTCACATTTTGTAAAGCCGCCGAGACAATTAACTCCAAGAAATGTGTGCTTTCGGCTGTCTTCCTCTTCCTCTCCTTCTCTTTCTTTGAGCCCAGTTCTGTTTCTCACAATGGTCGCGGTAAGGGGCACTTTTGGAACTTGGTTGCGGAAGGGAGGTATGAGGGCTTCTGCGACGGTGACAGTGGCAAGGGGCTTAGTCTGCAGTGGCGGTTAGGACTTGGCCGATTTATCCTTAGCCTGATTTATTCTTTTTCTGCCTGAAAACAGATCGGAGTATCTTATTAAAAGACTGCGATAATTTAGAAGTTTTTTCGTTCAAAATTTGTGGCGGCGGTTGAAGGTGGCGATCGGATAAATACGGCATCGAGAGTGTTCTTGAAGATATGGCGGAATCGAGTAGTTTTTCAAATGCTTTCCTATCAAAGGAATCATACAGTGAGCTTCCACAATCCCAAATCGGAGGCCGATTGGTAATCTTTGATTGCCTTTTTTTCTGCCCTAAATCTTCTGTTTTCTGCATTTTTTTCGTATTTTGGGGGTGACGGTCTAAAGAACGATTGAGGACCCAATCCTCCGTACCTGGATACTTAGAAATAATAGTACTTAGACTTGGATTGCAAAAATAGATCCATCTTCTAGGCGGATACAACATTTTTTTGTTCCGAAACTTCTCAGACCAGAGCTGCAAAAGATTTACAAATGAAAATGGCTTGCTACACAGGAGAAGTACATTAATCCACCAAAAATCAGCAACTGAGACATGATCAAACAACGAACGCGGCTTCCCATTGCATTCACTTTTTTCTCCAACATTTCAGGATTTTATGTTCCATATTCTGATATTATGTCTCGAATTAAGTGAAAGATGAGTAGAATGTGATTACAGTCAACAAATGATAAATTTATGGAAATATGTGATTTGTAGATTTATTCATGTGTCTTAATAACTATTCATCAATGATCTCTATAATTTCAACAAGCCTTGGCAGTAGTTTTTTGCTTTAGTTCATAACTCATTTCTCTAGGGCTTCAGGTAGAACGCATTTTGAATGGTAGTGATCGTGAATGAGATGTGAAGTAGATGCTTTTAATATGAAGTGGAGTATTACAGAGTTATTGGGATGCTTTCAGTAGAATTTCAATGTGATCGTGCTATTTCATAATTCTTGATTTTTGAACTGAAAATATATTCAATTCCCGAACGCGCACCAAATTTTCTTGTGCCCATACCTTGGATTTTAGCACTTGTTAAAAAAATTATTATCATTTTTATAACCTTCTTCAACCATATTCTCATTCTCTGTCTATTAATGGTTCTCGAGAACAGATTTAGTTTTCATTTGCTAGCGAAAGTAAAACTTCTATTTAAAAACATAATTTTCAAATTTATATTTCTTACTATGTGAAACTAACTCTTCTAGAGGGTTAGTCGTAATTTTATGGAAAAGTAAATTTTAAGCATAGCCAAACATGCTTTATCTTTATTTTGTTTTACCTTGTGGAAAATATGTTTTGATTTCGATTAATTGGTGTTTAGGGTAATGGATAATGAGTTTTTGCCTTTCTACTATTTCACTAGGTGTGAGCAATTGCGGATTCCAAAAGGCAAGGTTTTCTTGGTTTGAAAGAGTTTATCACCTCAAAGCGGGTTGATATCTTTACTTGATTGGTGTTCTGCGATATATGATCATTATTTCAAATCTGATCTATCTTAGCATTATAACGTGTAGCTGGTCTCCTTGGCACAAGCTGGGCATGCCATCACCAGTGATATTATAAATGCTGAAGGTAATAAGTAGAGTGTCACGTTATTTTGCCTAACGAATACTATGCTTGGAGTCAAATTAGTTCAAGAAGGGACTTGATCTTTCTGTTTAGTTTCTTAAGCATGTGTATTTGTTTCAGAAGGTGATATTTCTATGGTTTAAATATCTTAATCATCTGAAGTTGACTTTGAACACTTACAACTTCCAACCATGGAAGGTCTGGATGTTCTCCTAGCTGTAAGTCTACTACATGTTTTTTCTATACTTTCATCTAAGTTCAAATGGTAGGTACTTTTTAACTTTTTTTATTATTCTTTTGTAGAAGAGAAAGCATACACCTAAAAGTGAACCCGAACAGAATGGTAAGACGGATGATATTTCATTTAGACATTTACAAGCATATTAGTATTTGCTTTCAAAGTGTTTGTTTAACAAATTTGCTATAATTCAGGCAACTCTCTAGTGCAAATGTCTCCTTCAGCTAGTTGGTTTACTTCTTCAAAATCCGCAAACAAGGTATGCTGGCATGTAATTGGAAATTTTAGCATTCCTTTGTATTTTGGGGATATCCCACGACACACATCATGAAAAGAAGAAACCATGACAAAATTTACCTTTTGAAAGAGAAAATATTGAGTTTTAAATATTGTACAAGCAAATTGTTCTGCATCCTCACTCAACCTAAGTTCTTGCTATAAAATTTATTACTAGGGAATGCCAAGATCTCAAATCCAAATAAGGAACATTTTTTTTTGCATAATTTTAAGATTGGCATTGGATAGTTTGTCACATCAGGAGAGAAATTATCATTTCTTATATTACATCATGAAAATATTAAAATAATCCTAGATAATGGTAAATTATTCATAGGTCTTGCATATAAATAGCAGAAATAAGTTATGGGCTAAACAAGTTTAACTCCAACTACATACCTCATGCATGCGGTTGACATTTGGGTACGAGTAGTTTCATTGTTGAGATTTCGTGCTTAATTTGCCAGGGAGCACAAAATTAAGACAATCAGAAGTGTTGCCATGACGTAAATTGCCCGAAACGAAAGACCTGGGAAATAGAACTTTATTAAAAAAATTCATAAAAAAGATCATGTAAGTGTGATCAACTTATAATTGAAACTTATTGTAGCATCTTTAAGGTATTTTGCAACCACGGTAATCTGCATCAACCATGAGGACATTAATATACTACAGCTCAATCTATCAAATTAAATTTCGAACTTACACTTTTATATGTTTAAATGTTGAGAGATGCTACATACACAGCTCGGCTCACAGCTCGGATGACAGCTCTCACACGTTCAGGGGCGGGGCCCGCGATTAAAATAACAAAATTCAGAGGTGGGGCCTGCGGCTTTGTGTGTGTGCTGTGACCCGAGCTGTAAGCTCGGGCTGTACAAACAGCCTAATTCTTAAATGTTTGAGGAAACGGTTCGATGCACCATATAACAATTGCATACATAGAACATCTGATCAGTCAGTTTGTACCATCCTATGCCACAAACATGGTAGCTATGGCTGCAGCAAGAACGAGCTTGCAACGTGAAAGTCAACAAATATATATCTCCTATTCCCTATAAATTTATAATCAATAATATACAGACAAAAAGTAATTATTTATTAACCTTTAATTGTGTTTCATATTGTTCGATAAAGGTTCGTCTCGTGAGTTTACAAATAATTCGAACATCCTATTCTCACAAGCTGGGTTTATTCATCTCGGGGGATCTCATTGCGGAAAGGACGATTTGGGAAAGGTTGCTTTTAGTAGAAAATTGGTTTCGTGGACTATCCAACTGGAAAAGATGAACCGTCGGGGGTTTGACTTAAAGTAATAAAATGTGTTTT